CCGCAGCCGCTCGCCCTCGCCCCTCAAGAGGCCTCTGCCCTTTGGCCAGTCGCGCGCAGGGCGGGGCGCCTCGTCGCGCAGATGGGTACACTGAGGCCCACCGGTTTCTAACTGGTAATTGGCCCCGCAGCTAGGAAAGAGTCGGTCACCAATCAACACCAAGCGGAAGCAAACAGACGTGGGGATGTGGCTGGAAGGCCCGGCTTCAATCCTGCCTGGGCCACACCGGGGGGATCTGGGCTGTCACCTAACCCCAACAGGCAAGCTAAGACCGTACCAGGTCTCCTGAGCTGGTAACAGGCCTACCATAATTCCCCCTCGGTAAGGGTTGAAAAGGTCAGTTATAAATTAAGCTAATTTATAATTAAGACAATAACCCGTAATTATGAAAATGTTGTCCTTCTCCGTCTTTGCCTGAAATGTGTTTCCCTTCTAAGTTCTCTCAGCTGAACTTGAATAAAATTGAATTGAGTAAAAGTTTGAAAATTCAGATTACAAGCCATGGGGAGAGGCTTTCACTGAACAAAGGCCTGACATCTATGGGTAGATGGGCAAACTATAGGCCACATTCTACCATTGGTCTTTTTTTTTTTTTTTTTTAACTCTCTTCTCCCTTCAAGATGTTTACACCTTTTTTTTTTTCTTTCTAGTATCCCAGATCAAACTCAGGACCTTGGGCTTGTGAGGCAATCAAGGCACCACTGAGCTAAACCTGGCCCAAGATGTTTACACTTTTTAATGATGAAAAATTTTTCAAGTGTCTTTCATAACACATGAACATGTGAAACTCGTATCTCAGCATTCACAGATTTAAAGGATATCTTGAAACACAGCCACTATGTCTATAGCTATTTTGCATTGCAAACTGCAATGTGGCTACAGGATGGAGGCAGGATGTAAACACAGGTCTCAAATCTGTTAGTTGTAAATTATTAAGAAAAAAATAGGATGGGCACTAAGTAGGAGTTGATTTTGCTAGAGATGGAAAGTAATTGAGACACTCATTCAAATGCACACCCATGGGGGGGCTACAGGCTAAGTACAAGAATACAAAATCACATGTGCACTCCGTGACTGCTACACGTCCTTGGATACAGTTTTACACTTCTTACACCTGCTAAAGCTTTTACAGCAGACCCTCGACATACTAACTCGATCTTTTTCCCAAAGGCTGCTTGTAACGCAAGCTGGTTAAGTGCCTTCAAAGTCTCTCTCATAATTTTAGGCTATACTTTCTTCCAGGCAGATCTCCGTATCCTTAGAAAGACATTGGCCCAGGATTTCTCAACCCCACACAGAAGAGAATGCTGTAACATTCCTTCCAGAACTTTTTAAGGGTTAAATCCATATCTGATACCAGCTAGAAACACAAGTGGCCGGCATACATGTCGTAACTCAAGGCTTTGTTCATAAGCTAAAACTAAAATTCAGGTCATAATCCAAGTTGTTCATATGACAGGCCAGTTGTAACTGTATTTTAAAAAGTATATAATCTTGCTAAGCATAGTGGAACATGCCTGTAATCCCAGCATTCTGGGAGATTGATGCAGGATTACAAATTTGAGCCTAACTTGGGCAATTTAGCAAAACTCTGTCTCAGAAAATTTAAAAATGGCTGGGAGGTAGCTCAGTGCAAAGGCCTTGGGTTCCATCACCAGGAAAAAAAAATGTAATTTTAATGAACCTCCACCGTACTTCTCTGTGGAATAGCTTCCCCTGGCTGTTCTTCCTTTGCTGTTTTGTCTATGGAGCAGCCCAATATCGCATCCATGTGATTCTAATAAACTTTCCCTTTACTAATTCTCACTGGCTGTGTCTGACTTCCATCTTCAGTAAATCAAAGATCTAATAGTGCTAATGACAAGATAAATACAAAGCCTAGAATATTTACTATCGAGCCCTTTATGAAGTCTGGTTTTGTCTTTGGTTTTTCTGACACAGGGTCTCGCTATACAGTTCAAGCTGGCTTTGAACTCTAGGCAACCTTCCTGCCTCAGCTTCCCAAGTGCTGGGATTACAGGGATGCACACCACGCCCAGCTTTATGAAAAAGTTTGGCAAGCCCTGGTCTTGTGGGCCAGAGAAGCCCCAAATAAGGGTCTCAAATTTGTATGCTGCTTTTAGTTTCAGTTAGCCAAGCTACTTAGATTTTTGTTTTATGCAACCTACTGTGGGTAGGCGGTTGCTTGGGTGAAGACTGGAATTTCCTGTCAAATCCAAACTCTTTCAACATCCAGGGTGTGCTATTGCATTATCAACTGGGCCTTTTACATTCTGCAACCTTAGTCACTAATCCAAGTTTATAAGCCCATGTAAGAACTACATTCTCTACCTCAGATTGCTAAAATTATACATAATTATGTACAAATGTGTAACTATTAAATCTCTCCATGAAAAGGGAAAATTTATTAAAGCACTTAATCGCAAATTCACAAACAGAAATCTACATTAGGAAATTATATTTTAGCATATTTATACAAACTTCAACACAAAATTATAGACTTTGATATCAGCAATATGCATGCTGCTATTCCTTCTCTTTTACTAGTTTTTCTATCCTTGGAATTAATGATGTGACTGCGAGTCTTAAGGCAGGGCCAGAAACCAAGAGGTTTCTTTGTTTTGACTCTGTCAAAGCTGAAAAGGCAGCATCACATAAATAAACAGTTGAAAAAGGCAATAAAACTTTCATTGCCTTTTCATGGAGTTCTGGGTAACTTCTCTTTGCATTTATCCAAAACTGAGTTATAGACATTGATTTAAATACTGATTGTAGTCCTAAATCTGAAGCTAACTGTGTTAGTTTCTCTTCTTCAAAGTCAGTGAGATTATTATTTTGGTGATTCATAAAAGGGTTCATTACCCACAGATTCCCTGAACGCAGGTCATCCTCTAGTGGGTAACACTCATGGAACATTTGAGAAAGTCCTTTCAGGTGCTCAAAAATGATGCTTCTGATGTTTCTCACATTTACGTCTGATGAGTTTGAGAATTCAGAAAACAAAGGGAACATGTCATAATCATTCTCTTGTGTGCGCTTCAACAACATCCTTAACTTTTTCTTAAATACATCAATTTTGTTATATAAACTGAAGCAAGTGGTCATGGTTCCTTGGAGACTTGAATTTAATTCATTTATAAGTGAAAATATATCTGCTAAATAGGCCAGCTTTGCAATCCATTCCTCATCATGAAAGTACTTGGCCAAATCTGAATCCTTTTGATTTAAAAATATTTCCATTTCATGTCGTAATTCAAATAATCTTGTTAAAATTCTTCCTCTTGATATCCAACGTACTTCAGCAGGAAGAGGTAAATTCACATGCACAGATCCCATCTCATCACACAAAATTGTTAGCATTCGTGAATTCAATGCATTGCTCTTTACAAAACTTAAAATTTGTGCTGACTGCAAAAGAATTTCATGTAAACATGGAGACAACTTTTCAGCTGCTAAATGTTCACGATGAATAAAACAATGTGTAAATGCCACTGAATTCATAGCAACTTCTTGAATTTTTGCCCTTAAGCCAGAACATCTGTCAGTCTCACCTACAGCTCCATCAGTACAGAGACCAACACAGTATTTCCAGTTCAGAAATTTACTATCAATATATTTATTTATTAGTTCAAATATTTTAAAACCAGTGACTTGCGAAGACATTTCAATGCAAAATAATAATTCTTCTTTTATATCACTACAATCATAATCAATGAAACGAATATAGCACAACAGAAGGGTTACAGCTGAGAATTCCGATGACTCATCTATCTGAAGCGCAAACCACTTTGACTCTCTGACCTTGTGAATCAGCTGGTCTTCAATGTCTGCAGCTAGTTCATCAATCCTGTATCCAATTGTATTATTAGAAAGAGAAATGGTTTTCATTTT